CAGAAACCTTTGATTCATTCAATGTTCTTCCGCTAAATTTCAACGACGTTCAGAAAGGCACCCAGAAGGACCCCGTCCTCAGCGAAGTTAACAATTTCGTCCAACAGGGTTGGACAGCAGATCGCGAGTTGCAAAAGTTCTACAAGCGTCACGAATTTCTCATGACCGTCCAGGGCTACCTCCTCTTCAGTGAGAGGCTCGTCGTTCCAAGGCAACTGCGCAAACGTTGCTTGTATCAACTGCACCAAGGGCACCCTGGAATCCATAGAATGAGGGCCATTGCCAGAAGTTACGTTTACTGGCCGTCTATAGACGTCGAGATTGCGGAGTACATAAAAGCGTACCGACACTGCGCGAGTGTTGCCAAGTCACCTGCTCAGGCCTTGCCTGTTCCCTGGCGTCCATGGCAACGTGAGCACGTTGAGTATGCAGGACCTCTCGACGGTGAATATTACCTTCTCGTAGTTGACTCGTTCTCCAAATGGTCGAAAGTTGTGCAGACGAACCGCATCACAGCTATAGCAACAATCAAGATCCTTCGGAGCCTCTTCGCACGTTTTGGAATGCCGGAAACAGTCGTCTCCGACAACGGTACCCAATTTACGAGTGTCGAATTTGCCGAGTTTTGTAGTACAAACGGCATTCAACACATCACCACGGCACCGTTTCACTCCCAATCCAACGGGCAGCTCTAAGGGACTCAAAATCCTATCGAGACTTCGTACAATGTGCTATTGAATTTGTAGAACTTCAAGATCTAAACTCCATGATGATTTAGAGAATTTTTAAAACCTCATTCCCAGTTATAGATCCACTTCAGTTAGTTTTCAATACCATGCGCTCTTCTCCGCTTTGCTTTGACTTTCCTTTTTTAAAACTGAGGACGGCTCTTCGGATGGTCTCCTCAATATTAATAAAACTGAGGCAAACAACTTTGTATTCCTCTTTGAGACACTTTTTGACTTGGTACTTATTTGGGCTAACTGGTTAAGTCCGTGCCTTGGGATCCCAGAGTCCTTGGTTCCAATGCCGGATGATACTTTTTTTATTTGTCTTTTGCGCCTTTTTCTACGTCATTCGCCACCGGGAGCAAATTCAAAAGCTTCTCATTTAAAGAGCAAAATGAGGAAAGTAACTTTATCTAAGCGTTACACTCTTTCTCCGTTTCGTTTTGTGTTTAACTGAATTCAGTGCTGCTGTGCGTGCTGTCAACAATGTCAATCGACGTAAGATGTTGGGCTAGCACCAAATTTCACTTCCGACACTGATATTCGTAGTAGGCATGATATCAGGCGGTACGACTCTGACATTACTATCCATATGAATATCACTAGGGAAAAGTTCAAAATTATACTTTTAACTCAATAAATCTACTCTTTTGTGTAACCGTTGCACTGTTTTAATATTAGTGATGAGTTTTTTTTTTAAGATCTGACATTGAGGCGAATGATATTGATATTCAAACTTTGTGAACTGATACTGACCTCAGGTGGCTAGTGAAATTCAGCACTTTGCATCATTGCCTCAATATGAATGTGTTTTCATGAAGCTTTGCAATCTTGCTCCTCAATTTGATAAGCTGTAAAGTTTACTCTTTGCGCTCAGTTTGTGAAGAAATAGCAAGCCTGCTCAGGGTTCTTGTATTTTTTCAACATACAGAGACAACATTTAGGCTCATTATTTGATGAAAAATCTTTGATTGTATGCGAATTCAAAATTCCATGAGGTTTTGGAGAACCAAGCCTTGAACGTGTTCATTCTGGAGTTCGCGTTTGGCTATCAACGTTAGCAGTTCAGCTTCCCAACAAACAATTTTAGCTGGTTAAATGCTGAATAAGCTATTAATTAGCTGAAAAAGCATATTTTTGTCTGAATAAGCTCTTATTCAGCGCTCAATGTTTGTTGGGTTGTGCCGTGCTCTGTGTGCATTTTTTTCTTTTCTTTGCTTGCTGCGGGCTGGTTTTTTTCCTTTGGTTTGTTTTCCGTCGATCATGTTTTCCGTGCTGAGCTCGAATGCTACCAACTCCAGGGAGGCAGCTCCCACACCTGGACCCTACCTATTGACCCATCATCAACTCATGAACCGGGGACCAACGGCTTTACTTCCCTTCCGAAGGAAGGCGTGGTCAGAGATGTTATGCCTCAAAACCAGGCCTGCTGGGGTGAGAGGTAATCACGCTTACCACTAAACCACCGGCGCTGCTACTGCGGGCTGATGTTCCGTCTCCCGAAAAAAGGCGCTTGTCATGACGACATCGTGTTTGTGCGTTGAGGTTGTGTATCAGAAATGCAATCGAAGTGTGTCGTGGCCGCATTTAGACGCGTTTGTTTTCGGTCGCTGAAATTGTCGGTTCTGATTTCGGCGTTGGTTGCGAGTTGATTCGGCCGGTGAAGGGCTGACTGTGTACTGGTGAACTGAAGCCTGAAAGTAGTCGCAGTCCTTTTTTTCTCTGCTGCGATCCCTGTAATCGGAGCAGCTAGAGCATGTTTAGTTATTTTTGGGGGTTTCCGCTGCTGTGTGACGAAGGAACGGTAAGAGATCTGTTTTTAACCCCAGTTGAAAAAGTAGCGACAGTATATCTATGGGAGCCACGGCTAGCAATGTCATTTTCAATGAAAGATCTCACGCGATATTTACAGAAATACTTCTAAAACTATGATAGAAATTTTCTTCAAAAGCTCATCGAATTTTTTGTCATGACAGAACGTGACAGTGTTGTGATCATCTTAATTACTAGCTCATTTATTGCTATTAAAGTTACTTGCACCGAGGGAATCTTAATAATATAATCACTCTACCGATTACATACCGTTGTTTGCTTAAATTCATCTAAATTAGTTAGAAATTTTGATGTCAAAACCGCATAAGAATTATTCTCATGAGTGCTTGATTATTGGAAAATGACAAGAAAGCTAATGATAGGTAGCGTCGTCTCGTGATAGTGAGATGATCTGTTTTCTCATTGTCACATGACTGCCGTGATATATACTAGCTCTGATGGGAGTTGTTCGAAATCACCGTGATGTCATGGATTCCATTACAACATATCGGGTGAGATCTATCCTTTATTTTTCTCTGGACTTAAGCATTATTATATGAAACATTAAATGCTGGGTACGGAAGGGTTCACCATGGCACTCGATTTAAGCAAAATGGATGAGGAGAGTGGAAATGCCAACTCCCTGCCATTAACATTTCGTGGGCTTTTCTCCCCACTCATTGGCGCATCCGCCTGTTGGATGGCCTATTTTTCAATCCTCTGGCACGGCCATTGGTTATTGAAGCTGCCGCCAGTGATAGCCTTCGTCATGGCTTAGCGAAGAATTTCTTCCATAGGACGGTCATTGATTCTTGAAGCCAGCGTGAACTAACTTTCATGCACTTCATTCTTATATGTTCATAAAGCGATAGAAACACAACTGAAAAACACCGAGAGAACAATTGAAAACAGTAATCACTTGATAAATTTTCATCAATACCACAACGTTACAATCGCCGTTCAAACAAACGCATAAACGGAGCTGAAACTCAGCTGTCATGAACTGACGTATAATCAAACCAAAGAGCCAAAAAAATCGACTTCAAGCAAAGTGTTATTGGACGACTTTAGTGCCACCGGAGTGGGTTTTTACCGAATGTATGATCTGTGGGCATCTTTTTTAATCTAATTGAAAAAAATTCAAAAAAGAATTTTATTGATAAAATTTTTCCCTAAACTGATGTAGAACATACGGTTTTCAAAAGTATCCCAAACGTCAACCCGGACAAGTCCGGATGAGCTCTAACCACTAATGAGTTCATACCAACATGAAATTATATGATCGAATCACGCGGAATTTGACAACCTTTTAACAATAAAAAGTACAAAAATAGTTAAAAATCACAATTTTTAAACTTCTTTAAAACATAAAATCTAACATTAAAATGTAAAATGTTGAGAACATTATCCATCAACTAATTGGCATTGAATACAAAAAACTCATTTTCTGATAAATACTGAACATTTATCATGTTGTGTACATCATAGATAGTTTTTGAATAAAATTTGGCTTTAAGTTATGGCAATGTTTAAACACTTCCCAAAATGTTTGAACAGATTTCAACTTTTGTTATTTTGTGCAGCATATATTTTTGAATAACACAAAAATAAAACAACATTGAAACCTAAAAAAAAAGTTTTTTTTTATTATTTTGGCCAGTTTTAGGTTCTAGGTGCTGTGCTGTGCATTCGGCCAAACATCCATAGAAAAAAAATCGCCCTCCCCTAACTCTGACAAGGCCCATGGGAACGAATCGGTTAAGGGTTAGTAAGATTACGACCCCAAAAAAAAATGTCGCCACACCACATGGAAAATTCTATCAGTCAAGCAACTCAGCCCGTAACAACAGCCAGTGCCGCTCCACCCGTTACGTCACGAGCTGACCAATGTTTAGCACTATTAATGCTTTGTTATCTATCTACACTGTTGTGTCATGGAAATTTTACTCAACATCTTTTATAACACGATGATAAATTGGTAAAGAAAACATTGCCCTCTGACGCTAAATGCCGCGACACACGCGTTCCTATACCTACGTATGTATGTTTATCTATCGTAATGTTTACAAAGTTTGAACACACATTCGGATGTGTACCCGGAGGACAATTCTTACTGGATTCAACCGAGTGATGTGATGAAAAATGGCGGTTTTCTATTGGGGAAAACAAGATGATATTATATTTCCATCGTGCATTCCAAATTTCACCTGTATTCTTCGAGTAGAGGTGCAAATTTGGTACGTATGTAAATTCAAAACACAGCTTTGACATTCAATGTTCGAAACCAGTCGAGAATGCACTGCTGTGGTGTGTGTGAGCGCGGTCGTTATCGGGGTTCGAAATTGATGTTTCGCACAATAATGGCTGCTTGTCAAAATCCTACTCGATTCAGATGGAAAATGATAAAAAAGAACTACTTTATAGCCCTCGGGCGTTACATATTTCAGCGTAAAATATTACCTTTGAGTTTGTTATCACATTGGATGCTAGTTTTACTACAGCAAAGTTTCCTTTTCCGATGGTTTTGTCAAGTTCGTAATATCCAACACGCACTAGCTTTTCAATTGGCATTTGTTTTGCGGCAGCTGCAGCCGCGAAGTTCTCATTCATTTTGTGAACTTTTTTACATTTCCTGCTATTCCTCGGGTAGTATATCGATTGTATTTGATATTACGCCATCGTTTACACCAAATTGCACTTGCAGAACATTGATTTCTGGACGCGAAAACACGAGCTAAAATTTTCCAACTCCTCACTCTTCTCACACTGCACAGAAATCACACACGAGAAAATATTTGTGACGACATCAGCATGCAAGAGCAGACTGACGACTGATTCCTATTGGAAGAGAAGAGATTTGCGCGAATACATGCAAGATGGCGACACTTAACTAATCGTAGGCCCATTCAGAACTGAAATCATGTGTTTCAGCTGCACCTAGCTTTGACCATAATTAACACCTTGCTCACATTCTATGGCGCACTATCGTAGGACTGACTGCCTTCAGTCGACCTCTTCAGCTCACTAGCAGTGGCAATTTTGGCACTGCACATTGAAGGCTGGCATCAGATTACACTCGATTTGACTGCATTTCCTCGCTGCTCCTCTTCTCTTTTACACACCTTCATGATATAACAATGTCATTGATTCAAGAATTTTTAATTCATATATTTCGATCTGCCTCTACACATCAGTACGCATACTCTTCAATGGAGTACTTCCACTGCACGCACACGAGTGTGATCATTCATACTGCAATTGAGTCAAGTGTGAGAAAAAAAATAATTCATGCCTTGTAGTAACAGCACAATTTGCCTCTTGTCTGTGACGTTTATTGCCAAAATTGTGCTTCCTTTATCACTTTTTCCCCCAACAATGGTTTGATAAGCTACTGCCACGGTCCGATATCAATTCGAAAGATTAACGAACAACCACCTCAGGTTGAAGCACTTCGCAAAAAGCAGCACCGTTCGATTTCCGTCACACCGAAACTTTGTAATCAAATTTCCTAGAAAGGATTTAGTTTTATGCTTCTACTGGATATATTTTCTTCCATCTTCACGCACCGAAACGGTAAAGATTAGCGAGAAATCCATTCCGCGGCCCGTTTACGACCTGACTGACTGATAGCTTAGATAACGTTGAGCAACACCGTGGGTAGTTCACTGGTCGCGGTCTCTCAATGAAATGATTGGCATTATAACAAGGTAGCTATCACAGTCACTGTCCTTCTCTCTCGAATTGACGTACGACGACGATACTGAATCTGCAAACGCGAGACTCTTCAATTAGGTAGCAAGATACGATGGTGTTGGTAGGGATTTTTTTTTCGGGATCTACGAAGCAGAGCGCATTCGGCGGAGACAAACAAAAGATTGATCCTTATTGATCAATGATAGAACAAGCGCTACTGCAACCGAAATTCACGGCCGGAGAGGGTATCACTGCAGCGGAATTCTTATTTTGCTGCAATTATGTTCCTCCGTTAACTTGAAGGTTCTCTCTCTCTCTCTCTCTGGATGAGAGAAAGAAGGAGAATATGAACTGATAGCTCTCCGTTACAGGGGACTATTCAAATAATACGATCCAGATTGCTTTGGCGACAATTTTTTAACTAGTTTGTTTATTTACTAGGCTCAGTCGTGTGTGACACTTTGTGGAGCCAAAAATCCGTAATTTTTTAATTAACATTTTAAACAGCAGTAAATCTAGGTAAGTTTTGGTACAAATTACTCGTGGTGGGCTCGAGGTTAATGGGTAACAATTTCGATTGGAAGGAGCTAGGTAGGAAACAGGTTTCTGAAGCCTCCTTCAGATACTACTCTCGAACGGTTGACCAAATGCTGACTGGGCAGGGGCAAGTAGCACAGAAACAGAAGGATAATAAGACTGGGACACAATGGCTGAAAAATGTGTGGAAAGGAGCGGATGGTCACCTCAAATTCTAACATCAGACAAACAAATGAATTCGTAGATTGCCTGTATGTAGGGAAGATCACAGGTTCCCAATACATCTCTTACTTCACGGAAGGGTTGCCTACCTCGGGCCACTAGGGTATCCAACAGACGTACTCTGGAGGCGTCAATACACGGGCAATGCCAAACTGCGGGATTGATGTCATCATAACCGGTTCTGCACCTACATATATTGCTGTCATCGAGGTTTATTCTGTAGAGATGTGCGTCTAGCGAGTAAGTCTTGACATCACGCGATGAATCCCCGACTTACATCCAGACCTTTGAACCACGCTCTCGAAGAAACATTTGGAGTAATGGAATGTGACCACCGCCCAAGAGAATTACTAGTCCAATCGTTTTGCCAGCTTAGAAGAGCACTCTGACGTACTAATGGGAAAAATTCATCATGTGAAACTCTTCTATCATAAATCTCGCCTTGCTGTGCGCCCACCTTTGCGGAAGAGTCTGCCTTCTCACTGCCTGGGATTGAACAATGTGAGGGGACCCATACAAAGGTAATCATATATGATCTTTCGACCAGCAAACTCATCTGCTCCCTTACCTTTGAAAGGAAATAAGATGAGTGCCTACCTTGTTTCATCGACCGAATAGCCTCAATCGAACTGAGACTATCCGAGAAGATGAAGTAATGGTCGGTGGGCATGTCGAAAATCGTCCCTCAGCTCAGCAACATAAACGGAACAAGGTTCCTGAAGTTTCCGAAAGACGGTTGAGTATTCATTTCTACAGCGTTTTTTCCGTGATGCAATTTGATGTGGGACACCCTTTAGAAAGCTATAAACGTAAGTTGTCCACATTTTGATTCGACAGAAAATCCCAAAGTTTCAAAAACTTTGGTTTCAAATGAAGCAAGAATTGGATGTTTGATCTGTATTCTTACTATCACAGATCAGGGAACTATGAATTGGGATACGTGGTCCAATCGATGCGACTTGTTAACATAAGAAATTGTGTGTGTAATGTCTGAAATCTAGTGACATTGTTCAAATCTGTTAATAATTGCCATTGAATACAGTATCTCCCCGCTATTCCAACACTCGCAAATCCGACGACTCGATACTCCGACGACTCAATAGTCTTCTGGTAGTCTGCGCAAGACAAAACTGGAGGCATACCTCTTGAAACCATTGCACTGTGGGCTTAATATTCAATCTAGCTGGATAATAAATAACTCCTCGGGGTGACGTCATGGTAATTTGCAAAGTTGTTTAGTTATACAAGGCCTACTCTGTGAATGATAAATGTCAGTTCAGTGGATTCATGTTCAAGCAGTCCTGATTTGTTCCCTTTGATATACTGTATAAATTTCACAACGATATCTACTGGAACTTTTTTTGTTGTGGCTGTTTATGTAAATATACTTTTTTTCATGTTTTACAACATTTTCTTCTATCTGGGTGGTCAAACCCTGTTTATTCCTTAGAAAAGTTCTGTGTGTTATGCATAAACATGAGGAAAATATAAACTGACATGATTGTTGATTAAAATTTGAGAACAGAATGGAAAATAAGTGTTTTAAATAATTAGTTTTTGTTTTCCTTATAACTCGGAAAAAGTAGGCTGTGAAATTTTGACATTTTGCAGAAGAGTTGTTTATTTTTGAAAGATAAACAACTTTGTCGAAGTCTTCAAGTCGAGGAGTACGCACTACTAGTCATTCAATATTACACAGGCTGCTGACCAAATATTTAAAATCTTGTAATTACTGCATTAAATACTGTATATATATGATTGTATTCCATGCTTACTGTGAAGGGCATTCTTAACCACCCTTGGCCCTATAGTATTTTTAATGCGGAGCCCTCTATGGTTTGATATCAATTTAAAAATTTTAGCACATATGAAATAATAATAGGCTCTTGTGAGTTATCGATAAAATTTCTTTTTCTAATCTGATTTTATTTTTAAACACACTTAAAAACTGAATAAACTATTTCTATATACGTCTCCTCATAATTTGTTAATAGATGTTGATATGGGTTTTTATCGCATTTTCCAGGGAACAATTGTCTGCTACCGGAAAACATACAATAACAAATTATCTTCCCCATGTTTGCTGCAACGCATTGTAAACGCTGGGCCTTAAGGGGAAGCTTACCGGCCCGAAAATAAAAAAATATTTTCGGTACATTTTTATTTCTTTAAAAATATTGGGAAAAAATATCAAAAATCAAAGAAAATCAGTTTGTTCCTTAGATTTTTGTCAAAAATAACATGTAAAATTTTTTTCTATCTCATCATGAAAAAAAAATTGGACTCTCAGCAAAACCGAAAAGTCGATGTTTTGTGGTTTTTTGAGTCCAACTTTATGCCATAATGACTTATAAAAAATGTTTTGTGAATTTTCTTTGAAAAATTAAAAAATATGTGATTTTCTTAAAATTTTGATTTTTTTTTTCCAATATTTTTAGAAAAATCAAAACGTAATTATTTTTTTCGGAGCGGTGAGCTTTCCTTTAAGGGCCTTAAGGGGATGTTCACCGCTCCGAAAAAATAATTACGCTTTGATTTTTCTAAAACTATTGGAAAAAGATATCGAAAATCTAAAAAATCTCATTTTTTCTTACTTTCTAAAATAAATCATATAGGGGAAATGGATGTAATGTCGGCCTAAATTTCCCTAATTTGGGCCCATAAATAAGTTCAGCAATCGACTTAATTTTCAACAGCGACCACAAATATTCATTAGTACCGTCCCACTGACGCGTTCATCTAGATAACATTGATAAATAGCAGATTTTTAGCGATAGGCCCAATCTTAGATCCATAGGCCTACATAGAGCCATTTCCCCTACCAAAACATTTTTTGTAAGTCAGCATGGCATAAAATTCAAAAAACCTCAAAACATCGATTTTTCAGTTTTGCTGAAGGTCCAATTATTTCATGGTGAGATAAAAAATATATTTTTACATATTAATTTTCTCAGAAATCTATGAAAAATAGTGATTTTCTTGGATTTGTGATAGCTTTTCCCAATATTTTTAGAAAAATAAAAACGCACTGAAAACAAAATTTTATTTTCGGGACGGTAAACTTGATTCGTGTGGAGCATAATCGATAATTTTGTAACACCCTAATGAAAATGCAGTTATCATAGCCATACAATCCGCAGATACACGTGTTATACAGTCCAAGCACCCTGAATGCGAAACGGAAATATAGCAGTAACTGCCTAGTTCCTTTTCTTTTGTCCTTATGCTAATAGGTTTTATTGTTCGTTTCACAAATTTCGACACATTGTGCAGAAAGTTTCTTCTTACTTCGAGATAAGCAAGCTTGTTTATTCGTTTTGGGCTCCTGCAGGGTGGTCACCTCGGTCACAGCACGAGATGACGCTCCGAATAGTTTCGTCGCTGCATGGATGTCTTTGAGAAGGATGTAATGGAAATGTTTCGACCGATTTGGCTTATGGTATGCATTCGTCATCGGAAGGGACGTGATCCGATGAATGGAGCACAAAGATTGAAAAAGGAAGTCATATTACTACACCGGAAATAAAATGCTCAAAGGAAAGGATTTCGTTTGAATTTTTGCAGCTAGTCATAATTTTGGGTTTAAGTTGACACATGCCCTTATTTTCTTGGATTATTACATTCTCATGCAAGTCTCATCTGGAAAAACAGCAAGCCAAGGAAAACTTTGTTGTAAATGTATCCCTCCATAGGCTCTTACGGATGGGACAACCTAGTTTTGGTATTTTTCACGATATTTTCTAAACAAAACATGTAACTTTTAGTGCACATTGTAAAATACCGGTGGTTTACAATCGATTCTAATGGATAACTCATTCCTGGCAAAAATACATATGGGACAGTTATGATTTTATGGGCATTACAGGAACTCATGCATGTTTTAATCATAATATCCTTCCAAGGAGAAACAGGCATACCGTGGGGGACCGAAACTCGTACACCTCATACAAAAAGGAGGTGTTTTGTATGAAATGTACGAATTTTGATTCATTTCTTAGGTTACGGATTTCTGTCCGACACGGTAACAGTCCTCTTGTTGAGCTTCGTGCAATCAGTAATTTAAGTCAGTATTTTCTGTACCTACCATTTCATTATTTGGTATAATGTTCTGTAAGATCCATGTACTACGCAAAAGACGCGTGGTTCATTACAATAGTTTAAAATTATGAACACCCATTTCAACGTATACACAACACGCTTACACGCGTCATTTATTTCATTGTGGTTCAAAATTTGAATTTTGATTGATTGATTAGTTTTAAATCACCCCATAAAATTACGGTACACTCTGGGCCTGGTCTAGTATAGGACG